GTGGGAATGAGAATCAGCACCTCCAAATCTGAGGCCATGGTCCTCAGCCGGAAAAGGGTGGAGTGCCCACTCCGAGTCAGGGACGAGACCCTGCCCCAAGTGGAGGAGTTTAAGTATCTCGGGGTCTTGTTCACGAGTGATGGGAGAAGGGAGCGGGAGATCGACAGACGGATTGGTGAAGAGAGAGCTGAGTATAAAAGCAAAGCTCTCAATTTACCGGTCAATCTACGCCCCTACCCTCACCTATGGTCACGAGCTGTGGGTAGTGACCGAAAGAATGAGATCACGAATACAAGCGCCGGAAGGGAGGCCCCGGGGCAGATCCAGGACACGCTGGAGAGATTATATCTGTTGGCTGGCCTGGGAACATCTTGGTGCTGGAGAAGGTGGCTGGGGAGAGGGAGGTCTGGGCTTCTCTGCTTGGGCTGCTGCCCCCGTGACCCGGCCCCGGACAAGCGGAAGAAAATGGATGGAACAGTCTGACTGAACAGTAAAAATGTGCACAATATTCAGAAAAGCTGCTAAAACTTTAAACAAAACTACTTATCAAACCCCACTGACACACTATTGATTAAAGTCTTTATTTATTAAAACATCCATCCATAATCTGAGTCTACCCAGGGGTTTCTTCCTGATTGAGTGTGCCTGGAACACCTCCAAAGGGAGGCACCCAGGACTAATCCTAAGATTCTTAAACCATCTGTGTCCTTTTGACATACAGGAGCAGGGGCAGTACTCCAAGATCTCTGTGGATGCTTCTTACAGTACCTTCCTCTCTATGGCTGAGCCCAGCCACCTTACAGAGGGCATTCATTTCAAACGCTTGTATTTGTGATCCTACTCTTTTGATCCTTACCCAGATTTCATGACCATAGGTGAGGGTTGGGATGTAGGTGGCCTAGTAAATTCAAAGCTTTCAGCTATGCTCCCTTTACCTCAACAGTTCAGTACAAACATCCGTAACAGAGTTTAAAAAAAAAAAAAAAAAATTACTAAATTTAGGAAAACAAAATTTGACATGGGAAAGAAAAGTTCTAAATTAACCCTGAAAGCACTAATTCAACCTAAAGTGAAATCTTTCCCCATTTAACTCACAGACAAGTCACACACACACACACACACAAATGCCTCTATTTCTTACCGTGTAAAATCCTATACTAAGCAGCAGGGTTCTCAGCAGCACCTCTGCTAAGTGCAGAGGGTCACAGGTGTCAACAGAGCTGGATGAAGAGGGTTGTCGGACTGACAAAGGAGTCACTGGAGGCCCCAGGGCTGTCACTTCTCCAAAATTGCTGTAACCTAGAAGAGAGGCTACGTGGCTCTGGTCCTGAAGGCTGCTGAGGACCATGTCTAACTGAAGACGCTTTAAAAGACACAGAGTGAAGAAGAACAGATGGTCTAGCTCTTCATAATTTAAATGTGAATTTATCAGAAACATTGCTGCAGAGAAGTCTTAACAATTTCACTATCACTTGTTTTCACAGCGTTCCAGCAGTCTTCAACACATTGCCAAGCAACACTCCAACTAAGCACATCAATTTAGCAGACACAGTTATCTGGCTCCAAATATCCATCCATTTGTTAGCTATCCAGTTCACTGTCATTACTAAAACCAGGAAAAACTAGCAGTGAAGGATGAATTCTTATTTAAAACAGTTTAAATACACAAAATAAACAGTGGTTAAAAATTCAAAGCAGACTATTTCTAAAGAGGTAAGACACAAATGTGGAAAATACACATCCTGTCACTGCAGCGCTGCTAAAACAGAACCTTCATACCTGTCCTTTGGAAAGAACATTCAAACTCTGAGGGCCCTGAGGAAGGAGTGAGAGGAGCAGCTCCGTTCTCTCCCGAAGTGGAGGCAACAGCAGGGCCGCACCAATAGACAGCGTGTTCAAAACTGCCTGAGGATTGATAGGAAGGGTAACAATCATCATCATCATCAAAATACATGACATCAACAGTTAGTGCTTCTTTCAATAAATAAACAGGTTGGCCACATGTCTGATTACACAGAATGGAAGCTTGTAAAACTTTTTCTCCAATGAAGTTTATATACATGTATACTGGAATTTATATAGTGCCCTAACCACTGATGTCAATTTAACAGCCACATACAATCATCTGCAAACCTGCAATAACACATATAACACAGACACACAGAACAAGACAAAATATATAATAAGGTCCTTAATGCCCCTTGAAGAGTTAGAAAAAAATAATGGTAACAGAGTTTTCTCTCTATGTTTTTAGGTCTTTACCTTACAATATAAAGCACTATGAAGGGACTGTTGCTGTGATTTGGTGCTAGAGAAATAAAACTGAAATGAATTGTTTAGTAAAAGTACTTGACTGAATGGAAATATGTAAATGTGTGTTTCTTTTTTTAATGCAGGTTAATAAAAATAAAGTAAATATATATAAGAACTGAATTACTTGAAAAAGGAACTGGTACGAATATAAGCCTGGTCTTGGAGTGCAGCCCCTGCTCCTGGCACGGAATAAATATCCATGCCAAAATATTTCATGAAACTGACTTATAGTTAAATTCAACCAGGAAGCTTGAAAATCACAGATTAATAGGGTTCTTGGTGAGCTCCATAATGTTTTGGTTTATAAACCAGCAACAGCACAACCCTACTGCTGTATGTCACTGTAGGAATACTACAAAAAAATAGTCCGCTTACTTGTTGTATGGAGTCTGGCATGTCAGTGTCTATTAGCCTGAAGAGAAGGTTTCTCAGGGGCCTGCCCTGAGCACCCAGAACCATAGCACCAGTGCCTCCAGCGTGGGCCAGGGACAAGTGGATGGACAGCAGCTTCATGCACAGCAAAATAAAATGATGGTGGTCCCTGAGGCACAGAGAAATTCATATAATTTTAGTTTGAATAAAATTTCCTTGAGGTAGATAAGTATATTTTGCTAACTGAATGTAAATATCACACCTTTTACAAACGAAGGGAGCTGGTGGGGTGTCGTTACTAATTCCATCACAATAGCTTTCCAGGAAGTTGCGTAAATAAGTGAACGTACTCTCCTCCAAGTCCACACAGAAGGGCCTGTGCCACGCCACAAGCTGCCTGAAAACAGAAGCACAAATATTTAATAACTAATATGAAACCCAGTTCTGTTTAAAAGTGTTGGTTCTCCACCAATTTCTTTACATTCTGCTTCAAACTGTATTAAAGTCATACAGGTGGACAGCACAGAGCAACAGAGGTACACTGTACATTGATTTAATGATTAGCTAAGGGATTACCTGTCAGTTGGAACTGCGGTCCAAGCCAGACTGTGAGAAGTGCCAGCTGTAATTTGCTGTATCGAAACGCCCTCTAAACCAAGCACTTTCTTGGGTTTGGAAATAGGTGTAGAAGTGTGACCCTGCCCACACTGGCCCATGGTGTTATTTCCCCATGCATACACTTCGTTCTCTGATGAAAAGAAAACCAGGTACGTTGCAGCTGGAGCACATTTCTTTTATTGTAAGTGTAATAATCATCTATTAAGGGAATGTGAGCTACTGACGTCTTGCAGCAAACGAGCTACTCTGTCTTACCGTGGGACAGAGCCAAACAGTGGCTGTCTCCACATGAGATATCAATAATCTTGGTGATGCTCAGGTCTTCTATCAACCGGGGCCTCAGAGCTGTTGTTTCAGAGGAGCCGCATCCTAAACATGAGCCACAGCCCCACGCAAACACCTAAAGAAAGAAAATGTTTTGTTTTTAAATCTATGAATTACTGACGGATTCATCTACAGAATATTTGTCTGTAGTAATTATGTGGTAAACACTAATGAATTAATGGTCAGGACTACAACTTTATACTAAAGAAGTGCTAATAGAGAATGAAAGCAACATTTGTTAATAAGACTTTGGTATATCCCTTTAAAATAAAAGCCTTCACCAAATAGTTTTTTTCTTTTTTGTCTACAAATTAGTTTTAGATAATCTGTTTTTTCAAAGACTTCACACGCAATAGGCAGTTTAATTAAATAAATTTAATTTAAATCTCACCAAAAACACTTCATCTCACCTGTCCTGCAGAGGTTAGGGCCAGAGATGACTGGCTACCAGCACACACTTTCCTGATGATGAATCCATGCAGGGATTCTACGACCTTGGGCCGATACACACGATTGGTGTCTCCGTGACCCAGTTTACCTGCAAGGATGAGTCATATCTGAGCATGACAGGGCACAACATATACTGCTGTGGCACTGTCACAAACATGAAATCTTTCTTTGAAAGTACTTAAATTACACCAACTGTGTTAAAATCGAACAGTATACCATCCACTCACCGTTATCCCCTCCTCCAAAGGACCACACAGTACGCCCATCCTGAGCCACAGCGATGGTGTGGGAGCTGCCACAGGCCACCTGCCCGACACCACTGATATCCTTCACTAGTGTGGGCATGTTCCGACTTTGGCTGTCACTTTGACCTGGACACAGGACATCAGAGGTTGTTGCTATGCTACCAGAGGAATGACATCACTTTGAAGTGGCTGAGACAAGATCGAGCAATTTGAGAAATAAGCTGTGTACCGAGTCTGCCAAAGTCCCCTTCGCCCCATGTATAAAGCTCTCCATCATTAGTCACAGCAGCACTGTGTCTGTAGCCAGCAGACACACAAACAACAACCTGTAAAAAAAAAAAAAAAAAACAACAACAACAACAAAACACCACTATTTATTTATAATTATGTTAAAATCAATTGGCTCATAACATTTTACCAACATTTTTTTTCCCTACAAGCTGCCATTTCCTGCTTACTTTGCCCAGCAGCGGTCCTTGTATGATTTTGGGATACTTTTGTGTAGCACTGTTGCCATGGCCCAGCTTCCCATATTCTCCATCACCCCAGCTGAAGACCTGAAAGAAATATTTGACAATTTACACCGTATTAATCGGTTTAATTAAAATCCAGTGGTAGTGGAAGACAGTGAATAAAAACAAGTATAAATCATCACCCACACATGCGGATGTTTGAGTGGGTGTGAAATGTGTGAAGTTTAATATATTACCAAACTGGCCTTTGAAAAGCAGGAAAGCTCCATCACTTTCTAACAATGTAATCAGGTATACCTGTTCAACTGCTCATTAATGCATGTGTGATGCTATCATGGTAATATGGACCAATATTTCTGATAAATGTTTCCAGCACCTTGCTGAATCTGTGCCATGAAGAGTTAAAGCAAGTTTCTAGACAAAAGTCCAACCTGGTACCAGAAAGATGTACCTAATAAAATCTCCGGTGAGTGTATACATATTATATTGCAGTTGTAGTGTCACAAATCCCGCATGCAAACCTTTAAAATATTTACTAATAGTCATTCTAACTTCTCACCTCTCCCTCGACAGTGATGGCCAAAGTGTGACCATCGGAGCCCTTGGAGGAGGACACTTTCTTAATGTTCCTGTGTGGTTCAAGTACAAGCTTCTTGGGCATAGACTGGTTGTTGGAGTCCCCCAAGCCCAGACGGCCATAGCTGCCCTTCCCACATGCTTTCACTGAGCCATCCGCAGACACAGAGAAGGTGCAGTACTGGCCTGCTTCAATCTAACAGAAGATTAAAGTGGACAGCATAGGAAATGTAAACTGGCACGCTAAGATAATTCTAATGATTTATTAATGTAGTTCTGGTGTGCTTTCAATTTTATAAACTCACAACAACACATTCAATACAGCACTCAAATCAAAGACAGCATTTTCACCTGTTTTATTTGGAATTTTTGTTTTGTTAGCACAGTTGGGATTTTTAACATCTGTAACCATTTTTTAAAAAGACAAAACCCACCTCAAGTGTGAGGCATGTGGAAAATCTATTAATACCACCACAAAATTAGAGATTATCAAGTGTAAAAACTTCAATAAATAATAGGAACATTAATTATTTCACTGAATTAGTTTAAGCCCTACCCTTGTGGCTTGTCATACCATTTGGGCATCACTGAAGCCCTGCGTCAGTTTTGGCAGCAGGATTTTCTCCAGTGTCCCCTCTGCCAGCTGATGGCTGCTGTTGCTGCCCCACACATACACCATGACTGTATTGCTCTCAGTGCCGGGAGCAGCTGCATCCGTGCTACATGAGCACAGGCAGTAGGACGCTAGGTTACAAATCTGTCGGCGTAGAGAGAAGCCTTTCAGGTCAGTTACTGTAAACGGCCATGAATTCTTAATAGTGTCGATATGCATGTCAATTAGACTTCACTCACCTCTTCAAATAAGCAGAGAGCTGCCTGGGAGAGTCGACAATGTCCATCTGCATCCTTCTTAAGCACCTGAGTATTGACGGGATCGCCACGAAAACCCTGGAAATAAATAGTTGTTGTTGATCCTTCAGCATAGTACGTTTTCACTTTAATCTGACATTCAGTGTATGTAAATGTTGCATGCAGATTTGGATTTATAACAAAATGAACTTGTTTTTGCAGTCTGTTGTTTTCGGTACCAAATATTTCAAAACCTGATGTATCAGAAGGAAAAACATTTCTCTCCTTAAGAACAGCGACATGCCACAGCATGATCAAACAGAGACTGAAGACAAGCAGGCAACAACATAGCTCTTTGTAGGCTCACTAGTGAGTGGAGAAAGCAGCAGGCTGTGTTCAACTTTTATTTGTCTCACTAGAAACAAATGAGCAATCTTCATCTTTTACACTCACCAGCCACTTTGTTAGATAAGGCCAATTAAATGTAATTCAGCCTAGCAGCACCAGCTATGACTCCAATACTTAGACTGAATTTGACCACCTCTACGTGATAAATAATGTGCAATAGAATGAAGTCGTTGGCAACGGCCATCTCTGGTTGCCATTTGTACAGAAATATTACAAAGCTGATTAACCTGCTAAAGGATGATTCAATGTGCATATCTATAGAGGACAGCAAGGCTGACTCAATCCTAATCCTTATCTGCACATTAACCCATCTACAAGCTTCAATGACACACTTCATTTCTGAAAAGGACAGCCTACAGAAGCATGAACGTGAAAAGCCATTTTCCTACTTTAGAGACAATGGGGCTTTTATCAGTATGTTCATGAAAGGCTGTGAAAGTTACCAAAAATAAACGCATGAAGCAACCATGGCTCTAATTCAAATCACTCTGAAAGTGGAACAGAGCCACAGCATGTGAACTGATTGTACTTAAACTTCTGTAAACTAATATGTCCAATATATCACATGATTGCAGGACAAATCTATCTCAGGCAATTAAAGAAATACCATCAGTGACCGAGTGTAACATTAAAAAAGTACGATTACTCCAAAGACTGATATGAAAACAAGTCGCATACCGAATATTGCCTCATTTGGAGAAGAGTTTGATGGATGACATCAAAGCCCACACCGGCTGACTGCTGGGAGCTCAGTGAGGAGGAGGAGGAGGAAGACAGTGTAGGGGTGGAAGAGGACATAGAAGCAGCCAAGGCTACCTCCACCCACTCTAGCAGAAACTTCAGGGAGCCTCTCTGCATGGCCAGGCCGAGCAGCAGCTCCAGCGCCAGCCTACGACCAATCGGGTCTGCGCCACCGTTCCCGCTGCTCACCGATGTCTTCTTCAGGAAGTCAGCCACCTGTGCCAGGCAGTCCAGACCCACTGACGGGATCTTATTCTCATTAGCCAGAGAGAGTGGTGGCAGCGAAGTCAGGACAGAGGACGCTGTGTTGAGCACATCGTTGCAAAGCACAGACTCTGGATGAATAGAAGCTGCGTATCTCCAGTTCTGCTGCAGTAGCGAGAAGAGCAGACTCAAGCCAGTCCTGACACCCATTTCTATTAGAACATCTGTACCCGACTTGATTTTGGATGCTCCCCCTGGTAGGAAAGGCTCTGAGGCCGGCTCAATTTGCCCACATTCAGTTCCGCTGTCTTTGGAGTGGGAGGGCAGCTGCACACGGAATTTGTCATGGTATTTGCTGTGAAGTGCATAGTAGATCCTCTGTAGAACTACCAGCCTGTGGTGGAGACCCAGGGTGTAGGAGGTTTGCGTCAGCACGCGGTGAGCCAGCCATCGCTGGCTACGAAGCAGGGAGGACAGGTACTCTTCCTTCTCCGCAGATGCACTGGACTCACATTCGAAGTCCGGAAGGCGTGGGCCTGCGAGTTCTTGAACAGGTTGGGCGAGGGTCACCACTTCCTTGTTATGAAGGAGCTTATCGTAGAGCACGGCAGCACCATGCCTCCTGGCTGTCTGCAGGCTGTCCTCTGCCGCCCAGGAGCTATTGAAGTGCTCCTGCCACTTTAGCAACACATGGGTCTGACAAGGCACCATGTCTGAGCATTATCTATACTCTGATGTATACCTAAAAAAAAAAAAAAAAAAAACATCAAAAGAGAGGATGAGGCTTAAAGAAAGTCTAAGATAGAAAATTCACACATATCCACTCCAGTACAGATTAACACAAAGAATTGCACATCTCTCTTCATCACAAATTTACAGGCAACATTTGCTGCAGAAAGCCAGTGTTCTGATGCGTTTTCCTGCCAAGTGCATTCAGTGTGAAGGTGTCGGGTTTCTCCTTAGCGTCGGCACTTGTCCAACATACACTACATCCAGGATATTGCCATAGGCCCGGTGGGTATCACTGAAATAGGTCAGCTCACCCTATGATGGCAGCTAACTAGCACACCCACACTAATGAGGAGGGTGTGTTTGTCTTACAAGTTATTACGTCACAAAGCACAAAGGGATGCAATACAAAATAGCACATGTCAAATTTAAATTCATAATTCATTCATTTAAAGTTGGTTCCCTAACCCCACATCCTCACCTAGTGATCTGCTGCATTTTTGTTGGCTTTCCAACCAAAATAAGAGCGTGTCTGTTTCTGTCGACTGGAAATGATGCATCTCCAGCCAAGCAGCTTTCCAGCTAGTGGGGAAAATAATGATTTTACTCAAAATATTTTGCAGATAATCAGACACCAGCTGGTTAACTGTATCCACCCCCTTGAAAGTCATTACATTCATAACAGAAACTAAGCCACAACAGTCCTTGTAACGGTCACAATACGAAGGTCATATTCATAGCACTAGTAGGCACGACATTCCCCTGAAACACTGCTTACGCACACTCATCTTAAATATTCTAAAGCAGGTTAACCAGTAGACCTGATACCCCCTCGTACATTTACTGTATTATTTTTTAAACATTTTAAACATACATGAACTAATACTTCTAGTTAATGGTGAACAAAACAGTGATATTAGCCATCTTGAGTACCATTATGTTGATTATTGGATGACCCTACAGGTTCTAACTGTACCAAAACAAGCAGGTATTAATAAAATCAGTTTAACTAACGGTTGCTCAACATGTGAGCACACAAATTTATCCATAGTCCATAGTCCTGTCACAGACTCTCATTTCTCTTGCTGTCCCTGAGGCCCATGGGGCTATATAGTTTCCACTTTGGCCAAAAATAACAGCAGGCATTGATATAGTAGTGAGCTCCATGGTCAGACGACAACAAGAAACTGCCAGCAGTGTAAGACGCAACCATCACACACTGCAGACCGTCTGGTATTTAAGGATATCAACGTTCAGGACACGTTGTGAATTTAGTTCTCTGTTCTCATTCCAAGCAGCTCATTTCAGACTTTAGTCAGCAAATGTCAATCTACATTATCTAGAGTATCTAGAG